CAAGGTGAAAATCGGCCCCCCCCCCCCCCACACACCCTCAATGTGTTGGATCTTAATGTATATTGCTGGAATTAGCGGAATCTCGTTATTCTTGTTTAAAAGTATTTTTTTTAAATGAAATCCTTTTTAGTAGACTTACTTTGTGTGAATTTCAACTAGTCGAGTTAATGGATTTCTGGTTGTTGAGTAGAACCTTAATGAACATTTAATATTACCCTTAATTTTGACATTAGAGTAATTGATTGTGAAAGAACAATTTCCATGATGAAAAATGATTTTCTTTTTTACCCCTTCAATGAGTTGGATCTCATGTGTAGTCACTATTAAGGCATTATTTTGAACTTTAAAGTACGAAGAAATGAAAGGATGTGCTAGAAAGAGAAGAATATCAGTACTCTTGATTAAAAGTATTGGATTTGTAGTGAAAAAAATAATATCGAATTAAAATTTTAAGAACATAATTTTTTTTGATATGAAACATTTTATTCTTCTTAGTCGACTTACTTGGCATGAATTTCAACTAGTCAAGTCAACGAATATCTAATTATGGAATACAACCTTAACGTACATGCAATATTAGTTCTAGCTTAATTAATCATAGTAGTAATTGATAGCCAAAGGACAATTTATGTTTCAATGATGAAATAGGTCCCCCCATCACTAATGCATTTTTTAAAAAATCTCATAGTACAATGAAACGAATGATATGCTGAAACAAGTGAAATCTCATTATTCTTAATTAAAAATATCATGTATGAATTTTAAGAATAAAAAATTTCTTTATATGAAACATTTTATCTATCTTAATATAAATTTACTTGACGTGAATTCGAACTAGTTTGAGTCAACAAATTTCTAGTACATGTAATATTTTACCCATTTGACATTAGTTCTTATGATTAGCCATTTGACATTAGTTCTTAATCATAATAGTAATGATAGAGAAAGGACAATTTCCATGATGAAAAATGAATTATTTTTTCTACTTTTCTTGATGTTCAATGAATTGGATATCTCATGCCTAGTCACTAATGCATTATTTTTTAACCTTTAAGTACACCGAAACAAATGGATATGTCGGAATTAGTGAAATCTTGTTATCCATAATTAAAGGTATTGAGTTTGAATTCTAACGAATTTAATTTAACAATTTAAAGATTCTTAAAAGTCCTATTATATGTTGGTTTGGTTATTTTAAATTAGTTTAGCCTTTTCTTACACTTTTTTTTAAAAGAGAAAAGGGTTGTTTTTGTCCAAGTCTAGGGTATGCTCGTCATGGTGGAAAATATTTGTCTCAAAAATGTTTTGAAAGAAAATAAGTGGTCTTTCTTACATAAGAAAATTTAATATTTAAGTAAAAAAATTCATTCAAAAAATATTTGTATATATTCTTAACAAATACTAAGGATGGTAGAGATGGAGTGTCAAGATGGTAGAGTGGTGGGGATAGGAGCTACAACCTATATAGAGGTGGAGGTAGGGGTGAGTGTTCGGTATTCAATTTGGGAATATCAAATTTCAGGTTCGGTAATTAGTAGTTAAAAGTAGATACAAATACTAAAACTTTAAATTTCGGTTTGGTACAGTAATCGGTAAATTAAATTTTGGATTGATATGGTATTCGGTAATACCGTATTGAAGTTGTAGCTGATTGTATTACAAAGTTAATACTATTTTTTCAATCGTTTCTATTTTTTTATGTGGAGGTACAATATAATAGAAGATCAATAAGTAAGAAGATATCAAGAAAAATAAATTGATACAACTAAAAGACATGTATTTGAGTTTTTTATGTTTATGTTTTAATTTTTTTCTTTGGACTTGTACTAATGAGTAATAGACATGTTGATACATGATCTTCATTAAGTAAATAACTCGGTATTCGGGAAATATCAAATACCAAATGGTACTAATGTCTCATACCAAACCCAAATACCATAATTCTAAAATTTTACTTCCAAATACCAAATTATCAAAAATTTCAATTCGGTTCAGCAATTTGGTTTTCGATATTTTATGTCCAGCCCTAGGTGGAGGTGAAGAATGAGGTATGTTGGAGGGAGTGAAAACAAAATCAAAATGAAAGTCTCTTTTATTTTCTCTGTTTTCACTACGGAACTTATTTTACTTATTTTTCTAGAAAAAATATTTTCTAAATTTTTTTTATCAACAAAATATGAAAAATTGGAAAAATTGTTTTTTCCCCTACGATTGGGCCTCCATAATTTGTTGGACGTTTTCATTATTAGCCCAATTTTAGTATATGTAGTATTATCCCAATCCAAAAGAGTTATGGGCTTAAAACATACTGGGTAGGTGGATCCTTGAACTAATTCAGTGGTCTATAAAGAACAATGAAGCGCTAAGCATAACTTGTAAAATATTATAATATGAAAATATAAACTTTTGTATCACGAGAAAATTATTTATTTTGAAAGATAAAAATTAAAGAACAGAAGTGCGAATTACAAAAAAATATTGTGTAAATTTTTTACAAGGTATCATATTTGGACATCAGTACTATTGAATATATGTTCAATTTTTTTTTACATGTTTAATACTTCAAACACGCCGTTTTGAATTTACATATGCCTAAAGTTCATTAATAAAACAATTAAACTTTTGTTATATTTGTATGAATTTCAAACAAAAATTTAATCATGTATTTGAACTTTAGTCATATAAAATTTCAGACATCACACATATAAAGTTATTTCGAGATGAATAGACTTGTTTGACTGATTTTTATATAATATTCACTCCTTCAAGAATTTAAATCTATCAAACTATTCACATTTAATCTCTGATGTGACATTTGTTCCTTTTTCAATCACTATTTAATTTTTCAATTATCACTAATATATTTTAAAAGTCAAATTAACATCTTAATTAAAATTAAACATCATTGTCACATGAAATGACAGAGAGGAACCTTATCAAAGTGTCAATGTGAATGTAAGTGATAGAAGTATTTATTCTTTTATTAAAAAAGTAAATGTCAATTTCTCAAACTGAGCAAAAGGACAAAATTGTCAAAAAGACCCACAAAACTCCAAGAAAACCAAATAAATCTGATTTTTCAAACTTTATCCAATTAGGATATTAAAGCATGCAATGAGAATCTCAAACAAAACAAACACTACCTTTTTCATTATTCCCTTTTTACCCTTCCTTTGAGTAGTAGTACTACAAAAAAAAGGAAGCAATATTTTTCCCCTTCAACAACAAGAACCTTCTAATTATTTATCTAACCTAATCTTAATAAATTATCACTAAATTAAACTAAGTTAAAATCACATAAAAATTGCTAGAATTTGTGTACCACAACCTTCCTCTCTCCACCATTTTCACTACTATAACTCTCCGATTTTCCGTCTTCGATACTCTCCGATGACCGATCACCGTGTTGACCCGTTCCTCGGGCGTCAGATTCGGGCGAGTGAGAATGTGATTTTGATTGTGGCTTGTACACGTGACTACCAGGATGGTATAATTGTTGGTGGTGCTGGAGGTGGTGGAGTGATTGTAATGGTTGTGGCGTATTATAGAACTCGTGAGCTATTGCTTGTGGGGCCGCAATATAGTGAGGTGATGGTGCATGGCTAGTTGAATGTGGTCCATAAAATGTGGCTGTTGGTGGTGCACCACCGTGTGCAGCTGCGGCCGCGTACTCTGGTGGGACCCATATGCCACCTAAAACCACTAGGTGAGGTGGTGCTGTTGTTGCTTGTGGACTTGGACTTGGTCTTCGAGTGTGAAGTCTATACTTCTGTATAATTAAATCAAAACGAATTAACTTAAATATGTCATGACATTTTTATGATTATAAAAGTATATTATTAAATATAAAATTAAAAAAATAATCAAACTTTTGTAGGGTTAGTTTTCTTGGGAGTTGTGTGTGTGGGGGGTGGGGGGTGGGGGTGAG